GTTCTTCTGTAGAGCGGATATCCAACAAGGAGCTGAGATCCTCCGAATCATAAACACTTATGGAATGGCGTCGGGACAACAACTGAATCTGGGGAAATCATTCATCATGTTTGGAGATAGAGTGGACTCGGACCTCTAACGAAATATTAAAAATACCATAGGTATTACTACAGAAGGCGGTATGGGTATGTACATGGGCCTACCAGAGCAAATATGTGGATCAAAGAAGAAGGTCTTCTCTTTTGTTCATGATCGCCTTAGTGATCGTGTTAATCATTGGTCCGCAAGACTTCTTTCCAAGGGTGGAAAAGAGATTCAGATTAAATCGGTAGCTCAAGCCATCCCCACTTATGTCATGTCTTGCTTTCTCCTTCCTAAAGGAGTTACAGACAAACTTCGAAGTGCCATTGCCAATTTTTGGTGGAGCTCAAAATAAACTATCAGCGGTATCCAGTGGATTGCTTGGGACAAGATTTGCACTCCACATGAAATGGGAGGCCTAAGATTCAGAGATCTAAATGATTTTAACCTAGCATTGCTAGCAAAGCAACTGTGGAGACTCATCCAATACCCTTCATCTCTTCTGGCTCGGGTGCTACGAGGAAGATATTATCGACAATCGGACCCGTTAGAGGACCGAAATGTCTACTCACCATCCTATAGATGGAGGAGTATGTTGGCCGCAAAACCGTATCTTAATATGGGACTAAGGAAGACGATAGGGTCGGGACTAAATACAAGGGCGTGGAGTGAGCCTTGGATTCCCGACGACAAGGCCCGTCCACCAAGAGCAACCCCTCAGATCGGACTTCAAGACCCATGAGTGTTAGTTTATTCCTTTATTCGTCAAGACACGAAGCAATGGGATGAGCCTCTTTTAAGGGAATTTTTCCAACCTGAGGATGTCTCTTTTATCCTTGGGTTGAGACATAGTAGGAACCGTACCCTTGACGGATTTGTGTGGAACCATACTAAATCAGGAATATACACGGTTAAATCCGGATATGACCTGATTAGAAAATCAAACCTTGAACAAAACTTGGATGTCGTGAGAAAACCAAGCATCACAGCTCTTCAAAGCTTCGTTTGGAAAGTACGAACACCTGGAAAAATGAAGCATTTTATGTGGCAAGCTTTATCAGGATGTATCGCTACTTGCCAAAATCTTACCTACAGGCATATGGGAACGGACAAGAGTTGCCCCCGCTGTGGGAATCCTGAAGAATCTATCAACCATCTTCTATTCTTATGTCCCCCGGCTTTACAAGTCTGGGCGTTATCGGACTTTCTGTCCCTTCCGGGTCTCTTCCCGAGTACTTTTATTTACCAAAATATGAGCTTTCTCTTTTAGAAAACAAAAGAGTTATGCATGACAGATCCTCAAAAGGATATTTATCCTTGGATCTTGTGGTACATTTGGAAAGCGAGGAATGACAAGATCTTCAACGGGAAAGAACTTTCCCCGGTAGATACTTTGATCCACGCCAAGGTTGAAGCAGAAAGTTGGAAGATTGCAATGGAAGAAGTAGAGGACGAACCAAATGAGGCGCCACTCATTACTTTGCTCCGGAGTCCTCTACCTGATGTCCAGAGGTTACCGCTGTGTCAGGTCGATGCTTCCTGGATAAGTAACGGCCTGGTAAGTGGGCTCGGGTGGAGTCTGAAGGATGAGAGGGGTGGTGAGATCTTTGGCCTACAGGGTTGTCGTAGAAGCCTATCGGCCCTTCATGCCGAATTGGAGAGTCTGTTATGGGCTATGTCTTGTGTGATAGAAAGACAAATCTTATCCGTTCACTTTCAAACCGATTGTTCGGATTTGGTAAGCATGTATGAATCTCCATCGGATTGGCCATCTTTCTCATCAGAGCTGGAAGCCCTTCGTATTCTTCGGGAAATCTTTTTGGATTTCACTCTATCCCATATCCCCAGAAGCTCAAATGTCTGAGCAGATACTCTTGCAAAAAGAGTTCGAGCAAGAGACAGTATTTTCTCCCAAATCATTCATAACGAGCCAGCTGAGGACGGTTTTCAGACCAATTCCTTAACGGGCCAAATGTGATGTAATAGTTGGGTTGTGGAAAAAAAAAGGAAAAAAAGTAGACAACTTCTTGATATATCCATGATCTGATTTTCTTCTAGAAACTTCTTGAGATTTTGGACTTAATTTGAATTGGATCATTTGTTGATAGACCAAAGATGTGAGTGGTTTTATCATGGTTGCATTATTCTCTCCTTCTTCAAAAGGTTTTGTCCTCAAAACCGTTTCAACTTGGTGATGTTGTGGCCTTGGTTTTGATATGTTTTTTTATATTTAATTAAGAGAACAGAGTGAAATACCTAAATAAAAAAAATAATATTTTTCTTTTACTTTTTTTGTTTGGATGAAGGGTGAAAACAATTTAAAAATAACAGAATTATTTTGTTATTTTTTAGGATAAAAATAATTTAAAAATAGTTGAAACTTTTTTTTTGAATTTATAAAAACAAAACAAAGTGAAAAACAATTTCTTTTGGAAATTTTTTTTAAAACGAAATAATTAAATAAACTGCAAATTTTGTTTAGTTTTTAAATGAAAAAAAAAATATTCAGAAAACAAATCAAAACAATTTTGTGGATTTTGGTTTTTTTTTTAATAAAATAAAACAAAAAAAAATAATTGAGGTTGGAAAGACACCAAAAATGATATAAGCACAAAGCTGTCAATGGCTTATATGATTCAGATGAACAAATCTTCAAACGTCAGATAGATAGATAAATCAGATTGGATGGATACAACCTGATGGATAGGAGCTTTTAGCTCTGATACCAAAATGATACAAGCACAGAATTGTTAATGGTTTATATGACTTCGGATAAACATATATTCAAGTAGCGGATTGATAGAACAATGATGGTGGATCGAAGAACGCCACTCAAGTGTGTGAAAGCCTTATGATGAGTTCACAAACGTAGTCTCAAAGAATCTCACACAAGAGACATAGATTTAATGTTTACTAAGTAAAGGAATCTCACCTAACTTAGATAAACAAAAACAAAGCCGAAGCTTTAGAGAAAAAACTCTTTCTTTCTATTTTTCCAAAAATTTGTATAGATTTTTACAATGACAACTGATGAGTTTTTATAGGCTCATTTACAAGACTTTCAAAGTCAATTAATTACAAGAGAAAATTATGCACAATTTAAATAAAGAGAGGAGAAAAATCAGCTAAATTAAACGTATGGTCTTCTTCCACTGATTTAGCTATCAGATATAATGGAGATGAATACTTTGTATCTAGTTCACTTCTTGATATATCCATGATCTGCTTTTCTTCTAGAAACTTCTTGAGATTCTGGGCTTGATTTGAATTGGATTATTTGTTGATAGACCAAAGATGTGATTGGTTTTATCATGGTTGCATCAGCACATGACATGAAGAGACAAACGGGATCGCTCCTGCAAACTCTGGAGGGAAGACTTCAACATCAACTGACCTAAGCATTGTGACTATTCTCAAACAATCCAGCTCTGCTGTGAAGATGATTTTGATGCATTCGAACTTAGTTTTGAATTCGCTGTCATATTATCAGTTTCTATCTTTATTAAGCTTTGTTGTCCTTTAAGAGGATGGATAATTCCCTCTTGCTGCTGTAAGGTTGATTAAGTAATGAAAGTAGTCCTACATGGACGGGTTTGAACAAAACAAAAAAAACGCCTTTCGTTGAAGATATAGATAATGTATTGGTTTAATAAATGAATTTTGCTTGTGTAAAAACGAAAATTTGCATAACAGGCGCGAAGTTTTAATATTTAAACTTCAGATACGGGTAATGAAATTGGATTTTGTATCAGATACCTAATAAAACGACTCCATCCACTCGAAAGACAGATTTTTGAAACAAACAAAAGATAACGTAGTCAATAATTAAGAGCAGGGAAAGTAACTAAAAGAAAAGCATAAAAAGTATCTAAAAGAAGAAAATAAAGAAGAAGAGCACATGTCTATATCGTGGGCATATGATATCATACAATATGTATCATATTGTCATTTGGTTCAACATTGTGTTTTTACTTAAATATTCTCCAAACGTTTACCTAATTTAACAAAAAAAAAGGATAGACATGTATAAGTTAGGTAGCCAAGTCATTTTGCCCCCAAGTCATTTTCGACATTACCATTTCTCTGATCATTTATAGGTAATATAGCATTTGTCTTCATTTGCATCCATTAACAAGCAGAGACGTGAATAATTTGTTGGCTTTGGAGAATGGACTCAGAACTAAACAGCACAGCCTCAAATTCAGAACAAAATATGTTACTACGTGCCAACTCCAGAATCGAACCGAAATGTCCCAAAGACGAATCCAAACCAAATTATAAAATAATCCGAATGATATACAAAATATGTTACTATAACTCCCAAATCGAACCATCCTGAATCCGAAGCAAAATATAAAATAAGCCTAATGGTATAGAATTTTTTATATCAAATCACTTATTAATTAACCAAACTAACCGAAAATCATTAAAACTATTATTTTGATCAATATAGAAAAATAAATTAATATATACAAAAAAATGTACAATAATGATTAAAATTAATTTGGTTCTTTAATTTTCTCATAACATTTTATTTAAAACCAAACCGACCCCAAACCCACACCCAAACCAAACCAAAATGTTTAAAACTGAACCTAAATATAATTTGGTCCATTTGGACCTATTATGGTGTACCCGGATTAATCGAATGCTGAATTTCATGTACACTTTACAACGAACCCCTATTGGCTAAAATATAATTCCAAACTGGTAGCATTGATTCTATCTATGCTTAGTGCAGAATTTGAGCTTTATGGGTAGTTATGTTATATACGTAATGGACTTGTGACAATCTAGTTCCATATTACTTGTATGACAATATTGAAACTGTACTAAATTTTGTGCCTAATCTATCCAAAATCAATACTAATTCAAGAAAATAGTTAGTTATTTAAAAAAAAACCAAAAAAATAAGCGGTTATTACATTCAGAGGCCATGTCTACATTAACTCTTGGAAACACATAAGTTAAACAGACATTAAACTGAAGGTTAAAATTGAACTCCAAGAGAAGTAATATAACTACTGTTTTCAAATATTTTACAAACAAAGGTTAAAGGAAAGTGATTAGAGATAAATTACAAGGGTAATTTAGAAGGAGTACCTGCTTCACGAGGATATTTTTGTGGGGTGAAATGATCTTTACGACAAACAACCGTTGTTCGTTGTCCATATGGGCTATGTGAATCCACTGCATCATATTTACGAAGGTCGATTATCGGGAACCGTAAACGATAAATAAATCCATAGTCATTGATATGTTATAAACTTATAATGAGAAATGTTTATATAAGCAAAAAACTTGTGAATGTGCATAAGCAAAAAAAAAAAAAAAACAAACCATACCTGGACTAATTTGTAATATGGAACCACCCAACATGTGAACTGCATTTTCTGCATTTTGAACTTCCTCCTGTTTTAACAAAGCCATGAAAAATTTAGGTTATAAACAACGGACCTAGAATCCAGAAGCTTATACACATTACATGAAGTAGGAAGAAATAAATCATATATGTTTCAGAAACATAATTCAAAAAAAAAATGTCACAAACGAGAACTCTTACCTTAGGGTCATGGCCCTTAGCAGCTACAAAGAATCCACCAATCCGAACCAGGGGAAGACAATATTCCGCTGAAAAACTCCAAACAACCAACTCAGAACCACCCCGACCAATTAATAAGCAACTATGTTTCTAGCACTACGCTACTTGAAACGTGTAACAATTTACCTAAGACTCTCATCTCCGCGACAGCTCT